TTAATTGAGACTTCCGTAACAATAATATTACTTTTAGGTGATGCCCCAGAAGAGCTACCAATTAAGAAAATTAGAATAGATGACGACATAAGAATAGAAAAAAATAATAGTAAAAGTGAAGATAGATTAGATAAAAATGCAGTAGTTAGTAACACACAGGAACATTCTAATCCACAGTTACCAGTATGTTTGAATATAAACTCTAAATTTCAAAATAAACGAAGTACTGACCTAAATCGACATTCAAAAGAGAAAAGACAGATAGCAACTGTAAATAAAAAACAACCATACACTTCGCAGTTATTAGAAAAATTACTATCGCGATCTATTCAACACGAAAGAAATTTAATTTGTCAATGTGTAAAATATATAGTAGATAATAATTTCTTGGATTAATAATGATGAAATTTGTAACCGTGACGACTATTATTTCATTTTACTACTATCTCATTTTTATACAATCTTGTTTGATATAGAAAAAATAAATAGTATGAAACATAATCATCGATTTATCATTTGTTTTATTAGTTGCGTTTACACTTATTTTACGTCGTTCAAGTTTTAAAAGAATGTCTTTTTCTCTTTTTCGACGGTTTCTTTTGAAGTTCCAAGGCACTGTCATCTTCTGATATTCTTTTTTCGCTACTTTTTACAGAAATAAGACTTTTACTTTTTTCCCCAGATAGTGCATCCTTCCAGTCAGCTTCCGAGCCTTTGATAGCATATTGCTCTAAATTTTCCCTTTTTAACTTATCCAATTCAGCTTTCTGTTTAGCTTTTAGATCCTGAAAAAGTGTATTAAATGATAAATATTCGGTTTATATATATTTTTAATAATAGCGTAATTTTTGTGTGTGTTTCAAATGTTGCAAGTTACCTTAGCAGCAGTTTCTAATTCGTCGTGCAAGCTTTGTCCATTAATAGGATTGAGTTGAACATTTTCATTATTCGATTCGTTTTTTATCATTGTAATTTCGATAAAGTTCTCTGCAATTTTGTTAAGATATTGCACAAATTTACGTATAATACGATTAAATAAAGCGAGCAGTTGCGATGACGGCAAATCCAGTTCTTCCGTTAATTTATCAACAGTCTTGTGTTGTAGGCCTAATCCTAATAAAATGGCCTGAAAGTAGAAACAATGCCTTTTGAATACATGTACCTAGAGTTTATATTTCTAATTTTATTATACGTATAAAACTGATTACCGATTGTACTGGTGATAAATGAACGTCACCCATCATATTTAAAAAATATAAGCGCGCCAACGGTGGCAATAGATCCATTATTAAATGATAATCTGCCATATTGTTACTATACATAGATAAACGTTTTAGATCGTACGATGTAAAATATATATCCAATACATGTTTTGTCAGTGCTAAGAAAATAATTATAACGATGAGAACATGTTACTTCTATACGTTAAAAGAAACACTATTTAAGAAATACTAACTCGTAGTTTCTGGTGCAATTGCTTTGTTGATTAATATGCCTAAAGCCAACGAAGATGAATATGTATTAAATGAAAAGGAAAGTAAGGTTATGAATCTTCGTCGAAAATCATTCCAGTATGATTCTAACCACCTAACATCGTCCTGTTGCTCTAATTTATACAGCATTATACACGAGTGTTCACCCGTTATGTCATTTGCCGTTTGTCTAAAGCAGAATGGGGAAAATAATACTAATGTCTGTTGTGTGTATAAACGTAGGAATAAGTAACAATACAAACCTTAAATATACAGGCAAAAAACCAGATCGTTTCCAGAATTTTAAAAGAGGTTCGGTAATGCCAAAAGATACACCTAAATAATCTAAACTTTCTGGACGTCTTTCGCTTAGTTTTAAAAGTAACGGTGGCAGAGAGGCTCGAGGTTCTAAAAAACCACAGATACGATACATTAGAATAGATTGGTATTATTTGTGGGACATAACATAATAAATCCATTTACCAATCCTTTCTTCCAACAAATTGACTTCTTCATCTCGAATTCTAGATATTTCCGTTACGGTTGGTTCTATTGTTGCTTCGCTGATGTTAAGTATTTTCATTTCGTAATATTGCTTCAGTAATTCTAATGCTCGACTGCCATACCCCATCTAAAATGAACGTTTACCAAGTACAGAAATTGTGAATATTTTTTTCATGTATTAATCATTTTAACGTTAAGAATAAAATACAATCATACCCCATGATAATCAGGATGTGTTGCAATACGCACAATACGTGCCCCTGCTAACGCGGGAAAATCTTGATCTTGATATTGTTGTGCAATAGTCCACGGTATAAGATCACCAGCTGCTCTGCGTCCTCGCACGAGTCCATCATTTATAGTGTTCTTACTCACTTCACCTTCTAAGCAAATCTACATATTACATAAATATTAGTACTGCAAAAGGTACAAAAATTATTTAAATTTAAACTGTATTGTATATACTCACTTGAATGACTACTAATATTTCTGGTAATGTTTTCTTATTCGAATCTACTGGTCCCAAGAGACAAAATAGATGATGCGCTGGTGCGTCAGACATCATTTGTAAATCGTTTGGACTATTCTAAAATATTTTCAAGACTTAATATTTGTCAAGTAATGCAAAAATATACGAAGAATATTTACCTTATAATGTGAAGCAACATAGAGTGCCACCAGTTTTTGTAAAAATAACTCTGATGCTTTATGATAAGAGAATAGTGTGTCTCTAGAGAGACAAATATTACTGAAGTTATATTATTGACTTATTGACATTTAATATAAATGAATTACACACCTATTTATGTAATATAACTGACACATGTCAGGAGGTGGGCATCCAGATAAAAGAGTGTTTGTTGTAGCATTTAAACATAATAAATCGCATAACCATTGCTCAACAGAGTCTCCCGGTTTATATCGAATAGATTCGTCAAGAGTAAGTTCCTGTAATTGTCTTCCAATGACAGTTTTTTCAGTTTGATTTTTACCGTGTTTTTCATGATTGTTTGAACCGGTAGTTTGACTTCTTAATTGTTGCAATAGCTTCAACGATAAAGATCTACCTGTTCCCTCGTATCTGATAAAAGTTAAACATAAATTAAACAAATATAAAAATGCTAATTCTTTAAAAATATTACAATTACCCATTGATGGTCGACGCAAGAAATATTAAGTAAGGACCAAGCATAGCTTTCACATAAGGCAGAGGTATCGCGGCAGCCTCATCGATTACAAGTAGTTCAGCTTGATTTAATTTGTGCGCATCGGTAGGATGAATATACTGTAGAAAATAATTTTATTAATACTTGTACGTAGATATTTTAATGTATATTAAAGCTATACCTGAATTGTTTGTCTGTGGTCTCGGAAGACATTTACGCGTACAGTAGCTTTATTAAATTCAGGGTTTGTAGATTGCACCAGACCATAGTCAAGATGCTCTTGATATCCTAGCGCGTCGAAACCTAAAAAAAAATATAAGAATTTAATTAAATCTCAATACGATATACTACGTTCAACATATATTTTACCTTTGAAAACAAACTCAAATAAAGTATTTAAATTCTCTGGACTCGGACTCGAAATATAAATATTTGAATAACCAAATGTTACAGCACCAGCAACAGCTAAACCTAAAGCTGCAGATTTTCCACGTCCTCTAGCAGCAGTTAAAGAAACAGTAGATCTTAATGTTTTCTCTGATATACATTCGATAAATGTTAACAGTGCTTTTGCCTAAAAATTATATTTTGATTCCATTACATATAATCATAGCATGATTATTGTATTATCAAGCCTATGTATTTTATTTAACAAACCTGATCAATTGTCTTACAACAATTAACAAGAGAAGAAATAGGTTGAGTATCTTGCAAACTCTCTTTCAATGCATTTAATTCTAATTGTTCTTCGGATGATGATAATTTTTGTACTGCTTCAATTTTCAAATTGTGTGATGAGAGAGGTAATATATTTAATTGATCATCAACAACTAAACATCTCTTACAAGAAGCTAAAGACAATAAAAATCTTTCATTGAAGCGACCAACAACAGCCTGAAATAAGGTTAGATTCAGATTAATGGAAAGTAACATACATAACAACCATTTTTAAATGAGTTAAATAAAAGTTAGTAACATACTTGATGGGCTTCTGTACGGAATCTTTGATGGACATCCATATTCATTGTATACAGTTGTTTCAGCGAATTCACAGATTGTAAAAGAAATACAATAATTCCTCCACCCTCAACAGTTTCAATAGTACGCGCTAATAAATTTGGTGTAATTGCTTCAAAATCCTATAAAAGTAGATCCTTTGTTGAAATGAATACTTGGTATAAAATATAAAAAACAAGAAGATTATAATACTTACTTGTAAGATACACATGCCATACGTGTTTCCTAATATCTTGTGTGTTTCATGATAATAACAGTAACGTATATTAGTAGATACAACGAATAATTCGAAAGGATCATCCTCATTGACATCTAATTTTCCTGACTTAACTTTCCTTTGTAAGGATTTCATTCGCTTCTTTCTGTGACTGCTAAATCCCAATTCCTTCTTGTAACACCAAAGTACAGAAGGTCTAGCTTTTATCACAGATTTTGACAACATATGATGCAGTAAAACAACCTGAAGAAAAGTATAGTTTGTACAATCTGTTGAAACGATACATTCTGTATTTTCAAGGATCTCTACTTACTTGGTCTCTTGCTTTCTCGCCGATAACAATGAACATTGTTCTATGTCCCGTAATAACACCATTTTCGATTAAAACGCGAATACGATTATCTATTTTCTTACGAACCATCTTCAAAACAAAATTTGTTTCCCTTTAACCTCAAATTTCACGCTACATAAGCGTGCAGTTGGTGCAGACCGCGTGGCGTGTACAATGGTGTACAAGCACTTGTACAAGCAATGCAAGCAAGCATAGAGTGTGTAGTGGTGTGGAGTGTGGTTGATTATTGGTTGACTATGGTTGATTACTTGATCAAAATTAGAGCCGATTTACAGATGCGGTAATATGCATCAATATACTACAGAACATAGATAAATATGGAAAAGTCTGTCAGAAGAACAATTGTTACTTTGTGAATAGATTTCGAAGACTTTTACGTCGATCTCGAATAGAATGGAAGTATGTGAAATACTCATTATTGATTTTTTCAAGCAATTACATTTTTTTCCGAAGAAAAGATGAACAAGCAGTTTTATAAAAAAATTTGTTTAAAGATTGCACATGATATAAATGTAATAAAATATTAACGCTTGACCAAAGAATTTTGTTTATTTGTATATATACCTTATTTGTCATAAACGTTATATTTGCGCAATTGTACAATATTTAACGCTTATGAAGGTATAGTACGCTATGTACACATATATATATTCATAATTATACAATTTCATGACTAGTCATAATATTTGTTTACAAATAGAAAACGTTCATCTAATCAAAATTGTAAATTAAGATGGTCGAAGGAATTCCATTGAGAATTGCTTCCCTGGAGCTTAATGTCCCTGCAATAATAGCTTTTGGCAATCCCCTGTTGGATGTTTACGTATTTCTGAAAAATAAGGATTTCTTGAAAAAATATGATCTTACAGAGGATGGAGAATTGGAACTTTCTGTTGAGAAAATCCAGGAGATATTAGCAGAGTTGCCACAAGAGTTAATAAACATTTACATTAATAATGATTCTCACATGTTTATACTGTTAATAATTTTACGTATTAAATAGTTTAGAAAAAAAAATTAGTGCCGGAGGGTCAGCACAAAATTCAATGCGAATTTTGCAATGGCTTTTCGACGATACCTTCAAGAATCAATACAGCATCTATTGCGGTGGTCTTGGAAATGATCCTAGGGGAGCAATGTTGAAAAACTTAGTTCGATCAGCAGGTGTGGATGCCAGGTTTGCAAATATTTGAAATCTCATACTCTATTCTCAGTTCCCTATGATGTATTTGTACATGAAAATTCTTATTTTTTTTTAGATATGCAGTTCATCCAAACCTACCTACTGGACATTGCATAGCATTAATAAACGAATCGTCGCGTAGTCTTGTTGCAAATATAGGTGCTGCTGGTGTATATACCTTAGACGATTTTAAGAAAACCAATTTGTCATTAGACACAATAAAAATAATTTACATAGAAGGATTTTTCATAACGCACAGTTTTCCTGTAGCAAAGGAACTCGTTAGACTAGCTGAAGAAAAAAAAATAATTATAGCCTTTAACCTTAATGGGCTTTATATATTCAATGTATACAAACATTTGTAATGAAATAACATATACTTATAGATTTGTATAATGTGAATAATAGAGTCATGTTAACTTTCATAGGATCATCATGCAGCAATTTGTGAAATGGTCGGACATGCAAATATTGTATTTGGCAATGCAAGAGAAATGGAGGCATTGGCTCAATCGTTAAACATTAAATATGACGATGTAACCGATATACCATTCTTACTAAATAGTTTGAAAAGAATTGCAGTTAATGCTTCTAGTTCAAACTCCAAAAATTGGTTGCATAATGGTGGAATATTTGTTATGACTCAAGGAGGATCAGCTCCAGCCATTACTGTTTGGGGAAAGGGGCAATCGGTTGAGGTATGTTAAAAATAATAATTCACGTAGTCAAAGGGTCGAATAAAAAGTGGAATACATTCTATTTAGGTGCATCCAATTAAACCAAAAGCTCCCGTTATAGATACAACAGGTGCCGGAGATTCTTTGGTAGCTGGTTTTTTGGCAGGTATTTTAGTTCAATGGAAACCACAACATTGCTTAGAGTATGGTTGTAAAGTAGCATCATTTATGGTAACGAGACTTGGGGTTACACTACCAGACGAAGTACCAGCGGATTTAGTAGAGTACAATACTATATTTGCTTGATGCAAAATTCTATGAGTAATTTTTATTCAGAATTTTATTAGAAGAAAGTTGTGATAATAGAAGTATAAAATTTCGTGTCTATTTACGTGTATCTATATTATAAACATATAGACTCAATATTTATGTAGTAAATCAGAAAGTACAAAATTACGAAATATTTTAACAAAGTTCAAATCAAACTTACAAACAAACGATAACTTTGTTTTAATGTGTATATAAATGTGATTTTATCTATATATAGACAGATTGGTATTTAATGTAAGACAGACAATGTATCGTAAATATCGTGTAATCGTTGAACTGCTGGACATCAATTTGAAGCTTACATTGAAATGTCACATGTACGTACAAATAATAGTTTGATTGTATAAGTATTTTCGTAAATAAAATTATTTTGGAAAATATTCCAAATAGTATTTTCGTAAATAAAATTATTTTGGAAAATATTCCAAATGTTTACCTCTATATAATTTTCTTTTATAAAGTAGAATCTTCTAAAAGGGGCCTAGTAGTTTCTCAGTACGGTACTGTATCATATTAGTCGCGCCATCGGTGTCAAAACGCCCAAGCTTGTAATAAAAATAGTTGCAGCTGGTGCCGTTAGATGGCGCCATCGAAACCTTTTAATAAATTATTCTTTATTTCCCATGAATGGGTAATTAATACGATTCTTTGGTTAATAACATTACAATAAATTAGTTAATGCGTCAAATTTATCCTTTATATGAGTGATTATTTAATGTAGCAATAATTATCGACCCTTTAGTTAGTGGTGCCAGCTGGTGGCAACTAGCAGCAACAGGTGGGAACTATTTTCACTACAAGCTTGGGGGTTTTCTCATCGATGGCGCCACTAAAAATCCACTAAAATATACTAAACTTGATAGTTGTATTTTATTTCTTACAGTGGTACTCTATAGAAAACGCATGCGCAATATGAATCAGGACTAATCGGAACCTGATAAACATTAGAGTTTCGTATCTGTAAGCGTACTTTATGGTAGTTGATGGTAGTGCCTTGCGCAATTTATTGTGCTTTGCAGAAAATTAATTTGACATTATCAAAAGCACCGATAACGAAAGTACGGGCGATTACAGAAATTCGTTTCGCATTTTGCATTGAAATTTATATAAACTCGACGTAACTACTGGTAAGAAGACAAATTTCTGAATAAATTACAATTGTTAATTACCGGCGTTTGCACCGTTGTAGGTTCATTGTTTGTTCTACTCTTTAAAAGATCGGAATGTGTCATGTTCCGAAAGATATTGCAAAGCATATGGACTTTTTCATACCAGAAACTATGTATTTCTTGTAAACATGTTGACATACGATAATAGATCATAGTTGTTTATGTGTCGCATAGATATATTTTTAATATTTATAAGGTCTTTTGCATAAATCAAATGTGATCGTTATTTACAGGCTTCAAAATGTCTCTTCCTCTGAAACCGGAGCATCTAACACAGCTAAAAGTATTTGTCGAACTTTGCATGGTGAATCCTGCGATATTACATCACCCAGAACTAGCTTTTGTAAAATCATTTATCGAACACTTTGGAGGAAGTGTTGGAACAGCTAAAGATGACGGATCGTCGAGTAAGGCAGCTGGAAGTACAGATAAATCGAAAGCAGCAGAACCCGAAGCGGAACCAGAAAGCGAGGAAAGCGATTTAGAACTGGACATGGAAGGAGTTATCGGTTAGTATAATTTTGTTCTTTATCAGATTTAAAACATTACGGCGTAAAGTTAATAATTGTTGCTCATTAAATTACGTTAAATGTTTTAGAACCAGATACAGATGCTCCTCAAAAGATGGGAAATCTTACCTTACAACCAACGGAAGAAGAAATCGCGGAATCTCAAGCCAAACGATCCGAGGCTGTGTCAGCATTCGCGGAAAAAGATTACGAAAAAGCTATAGAACTGTATACCGAAGCCATCGTACTGAATCCACAGGCCTCGTTACTTTACGCCAAACGCGGACAAGTATTCTTACTGTTGAACCGACCTAACGCTTGTATACGCGATTGCAATCGTGCGTTGGAGCTAAATCCAGACAGCGCGGCAGCTCACAAATTCAGAGGAAGGGCCTTTCAGTTGCTTGGAAAATTCGAAGAAGCAGCTACCGATTTGCGGCTTGCTTGTAAATTTGATTTCGACGAACAGGCTGACGAATGGCTGCGGGAAGTTACTCCAAACGTAAGTACGGTCCAGATAATTAATAGATTTTTGTTACGTAGGTTGTATATACTATTCGTGAATAATTTGTATTTGAGACTGAGATGTCGCATTTACACAAATGAAAATTGTAACACACATTCCTATTCGAAAATACATAAATTAAGTCTACTTAACTTAAATACATAACGTAACATTTACATAAAATAACAACTTATTCTCACTAGCGAAGTAAATATTGTTGACGTAGTAAAGGTAATTAAGATATTTTTGTATAATTTTGATGACAATATTAGAAATTGGCATATCTGAAAAAAGCCGATCACACGCGTGAGCATTAACAACACAACGCAAACTGATAAATATTTCATACGAGGCGTTTAATTTGCACAAGGAACATCAAAGGTCAAACGTTTTACTAAATCAAAACAATATATTCGTTTACATCGAAAATATTGTTTGCATACCAACATGGGAATATGTTATCGAGTAACTAATCGTAAATTATTTTTTTTTAAATAAATATTTTATAACTTTTAATAAGAACACAATTTATTTATACAAGGTATTTCACAAAAGCCTCAAAAAGAGATCATTCTTGTCTCTTTCTTAATGGAAATATTTTATATACTTTAATTGACATACTTGTAATATGCAAGTAATTCTTGTTTCCGTCGCATGGTCTCGTCGCGTCGGATGGTTCAAGTTTCACAGTACCGTATAATAATCGTCGGAACCATTACACCAAGTTTCAAAGAAGTCTGTCGCGCGAGTTGATCGTATTTTCAACTTTTTATTGACGTATTAGTAGGACCCACTATTGCTGTGATATGTTTTCGAAAACTGCATGATCAAAGCTGTATTAAAACACATTCAAGGGAAATTCACTGTCCATTTTAGATCGGAATGGTAACACTTGTATCGTCTTCCAACACACAAGTAGTATCTCGGTAAATCATCTACTTGTAATCCATCGATGCGCTTTTAAGCGTGCATTGAGTATACCTTTGTAAATGTATGGTTTGCAAATATACGACAGCTTACCTGCACAACCAACGGTATACGGCTACATACTTGGAAACTGCATCTGTTCTCGTTCTCGTTCTCGTTCTCCTTCTCCTTCTCCTTCTCGTCCTCGTTCCTCGAATGAATTGTCTAGTGCATCGTGCAAGGTTGTGCTCCGGAGGAGCTCTACGTAGGTCTCGCATTCTCCGCTTCGTCTAGGACCCAGTTGGATTTTTCTCTAAGAGCAATCCGAGCCTAGCTGGATTTTTCTGTTTCAGGAAGGAAAGTTCTCTGTATCGCCTCGAGTATTGAACTTACGCTAATGTTCGTTTCCTCTCGCTCGTTCGCTTTTATTTATTTTTGTACAATTTGCCCGCTCCCATACGTTGGCGTCGAGAGCTCTGTCGCGGAACGTTCAATCACACTCAACTAGGAGGACTCGTCTCGTACTCGTGCGTCACTTGCTCTACAGACTTTTTGTATTTGCCTACGAGTTCGGGCAATTCGTAGGCGATGGCTACGTCGAGTCTGTTGATCGGACATCCACGGAAGTAGGTGCACGTCGAGCTCAGCAAGGGGAAGTCGTAGAGAGGATTCAGCCGGAAAAAGTCTCTATAAACATCCGGGTCGGGCAAATCGTAACGCGATATGTTCTTTAGAGTACTCAAGCCCTCGTAAATGTGATAGTCTTGGGGATTCTCGATGATCTTATCGCTGATCTCCTTCTTGTTTCCAAAGAACGTCTTGTGATTGTAATACGTGGTCAGATAGCAGTCTACCATTTTAGCGTGATTGCGCACTCGCACCTGTAATCGTAAAATATACAAAGTAAATTTCATTTAATTAAACATATTTACACTTTTTAACATTTTCTAGCCTTGTATTATATCGTACATGTATAGTACCATATATTCCCACGTGCAAAAGCTACGACACTTGTATAATATCATCATTTTCTAGCTCTCTATCAACAACTTACAGCAAATCTTCTGGCGCTCGCTATCTTGTGCTCGACTCGCTTATCAATGGCGGTACGCAGGTCGCGGAGGAACGCGCGTTCTTGAGCATACAATAACCTGGTGGGTGCACCTGCCTCGTACGGCAACGACCACAGCGACGTGGAGTACATTATGGGTGGTTCAGCGCTGGACATTAGCGGCGATATGTTCCAGATCAGAGCTCCTTGCACTCTCATCAGTTCCTCTGGTTTCACTTGATCGGCTTTGTTAAGAATGATGCGTGTCTGTTTTGGAAGTTGTCGTTACATTATGCTGACACTGTCTTATCGTTAGCTCTACCAAACCGTACCTGATACTCCCTGCCCTTCAGTTGATCGAGGATCGCTTCGGTTTCCGGTCCAACGTCCAATTTCGATGGATCGTAGACTAAAAATATGATGTCCGCACGGTCGATGAACCACTGACACGCGTCGTTAAACGGAAACAAACGTTGGACCTGCTTTCGGATTTCCAAGATCCCTGGGATCTCGACGATGTTCACCTGGTGGCGTATAGACGGTATGCAATTGTATTCGATAGTTATTATATCGTATGATGTAACGCGATAGAGAAATTCAAGTTCAAGGTCATCTCAAGCTACGTCATCACGCTACTCTACAAGATACGTGTGTACAATCGTCGATCGATATATTATAGTGGTTGATAATCTAACAAGATTTCTTTACGTCAACTCACTTTTTCCAACAGCTTGTTGTCGAGTCGTAAGCCTTTCAGACGATCGAGCATACCCTGGCCAAACTTTTGCAATCCTGAGAAGGTCCAGTCAGCGGCCAGCTGCGTCCCGTCGAGGATCTCCTCTTCTTCGCCGTGCATTAGAATATTGAAGTAGGCCGGAGACGGCTCGGCTCCTGTGTCATTTCCATTTGCCGTTTTGCATTGCTCCTCTAAGCACTCTCTCAAATCACCTAAACACTATCTGTACATTCATGCTACTAGCATGCTTCTACTGGTTAAATTTGTAACAATTCGCTGTTTTGTTGGAGTTTTTTTTTTTTTTTTTCTCCTTTACAAAACTATCGAAGGCGTGATCACGGCCGACTGAGTTAAGCGTAAATCATGTATGGACGTAGGGTGAGGTGAG